TTTTAGGTTTAAAAAAGTCTGTTCCGATAAAGTGCCTTCTGAAAAGTTATAATTTTTGAAGTTAAAAAATCAACTTGCGTTTTTGTACTGCTTGCTAGAAAATCATAAGTTTCAACAGAGTAAGAAGGAGTTATGATTCTCCAAAAGGACGGAATTTCGGAACCAAGTAATGCATATAAAGACGCGAACTCTACAAGGAACTCAGTTTCTAGACATCAGAATACCATCACGGTTGAACTGACGCTTTGGTAATGAAGAAGAAAGTAAGTCACAATATGTAGGAAATGGAAAAGCTTGTCTAGCTTTGAAGTCATAATCTACTAGTCGCTCTCTGAGTAGAGTTGATTAAACCAACAGTCAAGGGAGGACGACTTTACACTCAGCTTTTTTCTTTGTTCAGTGTCTACTTAGAGAAGATCAGAAGTTCCAGTGATCTCACAAACTAAAATCACAGGAAGCATTTTCTGCAAAAGTTGCTAGAATGCCTCGCAGGTTGACGAACATCGGTCTTTTGAATGTGGCTGCAACGTTCAGCCTTCTACTTGTGAAAAGACATAACATTTTAAGAATCCTTTATCTAATGGCTGTCAATGCGAGTGAGCGAATTTCTCAAAGCTTGCAGAAATAGTTGCCATAGACAAGGTAAAAATCCGCTTTTGCCGTGCTTACATACTTATTTGTTAGTTTATTCTTGACCAAAAAGAATGCACAAGAAGCTCCAAGCTCGAAATCTGTAAGTAATAACTATAACTCACCAATTTAAACCTTCACGAAGAATTGATGAATTACGACAACACTGTCTTCCTTTCTCATTTCCATCAAAAGTGTAGTTTTAAATGTTGTAAGTTTTGGAATTAGATGCAGTACTTTAAGAGATCTTGTTTTCAACAAATGACAAAGTTAAGGGACTGGTGCAGCCATATGCTCATATGGGAGCTGCTAAGTGAATTGTAATGGATGAGTAAGATGTTGTTTAGTCAAATCTGAACAAATTCATGAAGAAAATAATTGAGACTATTTTTAGCCAACCTTTTAGCGCAGTTAATTGAAGCAAGATTCTTCCATAAAAGGAATTGTCAAATATTGTGAAGCAACTTGACAATGCTGTGGCACTAAAAGAAACGAATTGCTCGAGAGGTGAGTAAGATCAACGCAAGAGAGGAGTAATAAAAGACTGCTAAAAAAGACGTCGCAAGGATCAACCTCATTGAACTGCACTGGATTGTTTCTGAGTCTTGCATAAAAAATTCCTACCTAAAAATTATACGATAGCCATTTAAAGATTTCCAGATATGCTAAAATTTTTGGTTGTATATGAAATGTGCTTTATCCAAATGAGTATCTATGATGTGCTGCGCTCTAACGATTATGCTGAGTCGAAAAATGAAAGGAAAATAGGAATTTTCTAACTACTGTGGAGTTGTTCTAGCTTGAGCATTTTTGATTAGAAAATTAAGCCAGGGTTCCCGATTCCAGAATTCTGAGAAGTCGATTTTCTATAGGATGACATGGCACTATATGTTAGTAACTTTATTTTTTCCGAGAAACATTAAAAAACCCATAATTTTCTTATTTACCCATTCCCAACAAATTGTTCAAGCTTAAACGGAGGGGATTATACATCCACACAAGTTGTGGCAAGGAAATGGAGAGGCACTTTTTATAAAATTCGGAACTGATGCAACTTTGCGATGATTTCCTTCAAGAGGAATAAGATACGCTGATACTTTACTGATAGGTTGGCGATGCCAGATGCAAAGGTCCAGATCCTTTTTTTCGAGCACAGACTGATGAAGTCAAAAAACACAGAAGCATAGCAAAAAGTCATGAATCAAGCGAAAGAACGGGCGAGTTGAAGCCAATGCGGAAACCGGCAGATACAATTACTCGCTATTGATCTGCCATGTACACGGTGGCGGAGGTGGAAGTAATTGAGTTTGAGCCGGAGATTTCTTTGCGCAATGGACTACAACAAAGCTCATGGCATTTGCCTCCTATCAAGCGCATGCACTTCAGCACCGCCTTCGGTTTCTATTTTAGTCGTTCTTATGACACCTTGTTGGCTCGTATCGTACGGATAAATCGACTAGTGAAGTCACTGTCAAGCTTCCGGCGTTTACACTCTTGCCAAAAAAGTAGAGACAAGAATAATGAATACTTTCACATTTTTGATGTAGTGAAAATTAGCACTAAGCACCTGTAAAACCTTCAAAAACGCTATAATCTAGTCAATTCATGCCCTGATATGGGTACAATTGATGACACCACGTGCTCTCTTTTCCGTAGCGTCTACGCATCCGCAGCGCGTGGACATTGCGCAGGACCAGTTGCGAAGGTGGGCTTAAACTGGCGGAGTTCGTTCCCCTAACCGGAGGACATAATGAAGAGACTGTAACCCTTTTCATTTTTGGATTTAACAAATTCACGAAAATACGACCCACCGGTGGGCCGTACTGTTCTACCATTTTGGACAGTACGACCTAACGGTGGGTCGTAAGATTCCCAAAGCTCTAGCTTATCCAGATTACGATGCAATTCGACGGGGTTCTGACCCATGATTGGGGCACCTACGCTGAGCTCCAGCCAGAGTGGTCCGGGCTCGGGATATGTAATGTGTGTTACGGTAGGTACACCATAGATAGAGATAAGACAACGAAGTTTAGCTCAAATTTTTTGCAGAGTGGTGCTGTTTTTGAAAATTCAGCAGGGTCGGTAGTAAACCTATCGAAACTCAGAGTTATAACTCAGAGTTAACTCTGAGTTATCTCTGAGCTAACGCGCAACTTTTTGACCCCCTTAACAGGTGTCTGAACAGATCATATCCGGAAAGCGATGATTTGGCAGGATTCTCCTTAACACGTAGTTTATTCCTAGTAGCGCAACATTGTCCAACTCGCCTGCACAAGAAACAGCGCCACCAAACGCGCAACTAGTGTCTGCGATAACTCTGAGTTTGGTGCGAGTTCCAGTCTATCGTGGAACTCAGAGATAACTCTGAGTTTGGTCAGAGAAAGAAAAATAGTGCGCAAAAGAAGAGGGGCAGCTAAAAAGTCCTCCGGGGTACATTTTGCTCGTAGTTTAAGCAGGCATGATGGGGGTATCGTGGTGCGCAGTGATTTACAAAATTTTGAAATTTTGTAAAAACTTGGCCCAGAGGGTTATTCGATGCGCTAATCACGCATATGGTACCCACTTTTCACTAAGGGGTCATGTAGAGGTGTTACGGTAGGTTTACGGTAGATGGGAGAAAATCACGAAACTAATCGAAACTTGGTACACTAGGGTTATTCGGGGCGCCGATAACGAATATGATATGTAGATTATACTGCAGTGTCATCTGACGAGGTTACGGTAGGTTTACGGTAGATAGGAGAAAATCACGAAACTGATCGAAACTTGGCACACTGGGGTTATTCGGGGCACCGATAACGAATATGACATGTAGATTATACTGCAGTGTCATCTGACGGGGTTACGGTAGGTTTACGGTAGATGAATTAAAGCGGCGGAATTAGCCGAAATTTGGTACACTGGAGTTATTCGGGATGCAGATTACGGACAATCTATCTGCTACATACACTGGTGACATATGAAACGGTTACGGTAGGTATACGGTAAGTAAGACGAAATCATGGAAGGGCAAACTTTGCCCGGAGGATTTATTCTGTGCGCAAATCCTAATAGTCAATTCTTATCATTGCGTATGCCATCAGCTTTCTCTATTGTTTGAAGTTTTCAGCTGCGCAAAAGACCAATCTTCGTGATGAACCATCACTGCCCGATAGAAATGGAAATGGGTGAGGCTTTGGTATAACTTGTTTTGACCTGCTAAGTGTTGATGGAATGAGTGAGTACATTATGGCAAAGCAATTTTGGGGTTCGTGGGTGTGTCATGGTCTAGCGGTTTAGTGATAGGATCTTTACGCTAGACCATACAGGTTCGAGTCCCTACTTTAACGTCGCTTTTGCAGCAAAGTGCTTAACAGTTCCTCAAAGCAAAACTCCGAGCTTGAGAGATGGAATTCGGAATTACGAAAGCGAAACTCAGAGTTTCAATAAGCGTAACTCAGAGTTTCAGAAAGGGAACTCAGAGTTATCTCTGAGTTAACGCGGAGCTTCAAACTCGGAGTTTCGACCAGATTACTACCGACCCAGGTGTACATACACGAGAAATGCGGGACGGACAAGAGACTCATGAGAGCCTGTCAAAAAATTATTGATTTTACTGATTCTTCGCACTGTTCATCTAGGGAGCTCAAATTCTTACATTATAGGTTCTGAAGAATGCTGATTGCGACAGTCGTAGTTTCAGCACTTCTAATAACGCCTTCTTACACCAGTTTCTTGATTTTTATGTACGCTACTGTAGCCTCTCTGTGGGATAGTAATGAACGGAGTAGACAGTACGATCGTGATCAGCACGTGAAACAACCCCACACACACTTCTTTATAAAAAATCATGATGTTGGGTTCGTGCAGAATGACTACCGTAACCTTATCATATGAGGCTAAAAACCATAAATCATATTTTGTTGATCAGCGCCTTTTGAGGACGCTACCGGGAAAATTATCGGAGACATGTTTTGGATTTTCCCCAAGAAGTTTTCGGACAATACGACCCACGGGTGGGTCATAAATCTGACAAGGCGAAAAAGGCTCCGGTCCGAATCGGCAGTGAGCGAAAAATCGGTTTTGTCGTGAATGAGTTAAGGTTGCATGAATCTCGATGTGCACTCTTTCCTCTCCTCAGTGAGAGAGTATAGAATATGCTTTTGCAGCTTTTTACTCTAGTGCTAGTGATTTGTGGACTAGTGTACTTGCTTAATTGTTATTTGATGACAGTTCATTGAGGTCATCGCTGAGCATTCTTATTCCTTAACTATGCCTTACCAGATAATAACATAGTAGCGAGGCAGCTATTAGCCGTAGGTCGAAGTTATGACGAAAGCAGCCTTTGAGGCTCCGTTGTAAGACGTAACCCAGTCACAATTACGGCTTACCTGTGTTTGTATGCTCCAGCTGACAAGCGACTTACGCATCTCTCGACGTTATGGCGCAGGTTTGGTGTTGATCTGAAACGAGCTTGATCGAACTGATTGACTGCAGCTTCAAACAATGCTCCAAACTGGTTGTGCGAGCTGAAGAAGCGAGAAACTAATCTTACCGATTGAGCTCCGTTGTTGAATATGATTTCCAAAATGGATCATCGTTTGGGTAAGTGGGCATGGTAAGTAGGTTGCTTGAATGGAGACCTATATAATGTTTTTATGCGAATGCATAATGTTCTGTAGAAGATCTACATGAGGAAGCGGGAGTTCACACTGTGAATCGAGAAAATGCAAGCTGTACAAAGGTACAGGCAATTCATAGCACGCAAAGACTGCGGACTTATTGGCATCTCTCTGATCGAGCGCTGTTTCGTCCCTCTTACCGTCTGCTGTCTCTCCCATGCGCGAACTGTCTTGGCTGGATGCAGCGGCGTCTAGTCCTTGCGAGGCATGAATCGTCTATAGTTACATACTTGGCATGTCAAAGAGATTGGGGTAATGTAGTTGGTGCAGAGGTAATGTTCGTAGCCTATGCTACCGATGCATGTGAACATAGAAAAATACTTTTGACCGTTCAATAAAATGAAACGAAGAATTTACTCTTTGAATACGTAAAAGGGACGAATTTTATGAGCCTCCGACTGTGCCAAAATGGAGGAATCTTTGCCCAGAGGATTCCTACGAGATTTGCAGTTGGTCATCACATAGCAGATATATAGTAACACTCATACAGAGTGTCCCAAAATGATGTGCACACTGTTTGATCGTAAATAACGCTTCCTTCAATGTCTTTTGCCGATAGTTAGGTGTGGAAGTTTCATATCTGAAATCAGCGACTCTGATTAGCCTAGTATGAAAGTTTTGGCTTGTTAGGTACCATTCTGTAGAGCTTGCAACTGAGACTTCTGGTATGGAGTGAACCTCAGTTTCCTCATTACTGTAGGGTTATGGTAGGAACTTTGAGGAGTTCAAACCGTTAAGATCGCATTTTTTCTCACAATCAGAAAGAAACCCAAACAAGCCAAAACTTCCATACTATTCTAATCACAGTCGCTGCTTTTAGATATAGAACCTCCACATTACGGTCTTGCTTCCTTCATGAGTTATTTCAAGAGAACAACACGATAACCAATGCTTTTCCAATGTCCTTCAAAACTGCAATTTTACCTCTAGAAAAGCTGAGAAATTTTGTAGAGATTGCTTGATAAAAACAGCACGCAAAAATCGTCCTACGCAATTTTCCAGAATTTCTGGTATCTTTTTTTTATCAAGCGGCTACTTTATAGTGGCGCCGTATGCTGAAAGTACATATTGTAATCCTACAGTACGAAGAGTAGTTGGTGGCAAATAACTTCCTCATGCACATGCACAGACAATGATATATATCCGAGTGATGCACCGTCATCGTTTACGTGATTATGCAACTTAAATTTGTCTTTGCAGGCCGGTGGCATAAAAGTAAACGGCACCCTTTCATATACTTCCTGGGATTGCATTTGTATTGAAACTGCGCTTTCTGGTCCTCTGTAACCACGTTACTAATTCTCCGCCAGCGGACTACAACAATGCCAGTTTGAAATGGTGCAAGTACTCAAAATCGCCGCTATATGGAGAGGCGAAATCGACTTTATATGTTCACGAGAGATCGATTGCATATAGCTTTGCAAGCAAGCGTAAGGATTTTGAAAAAAAACCTAGAGGATAGGCCCGTTTGTTCCATTTCTCGCTTTCAATATCTCATACTAGAGAAGACCAGTCATGCTCAAATCACTTTAGTCTAAATCATCAGGCATATTCTATCGAATATATTTACCCTTTGATTCAACTGGCTTGGCGGCTGGAAAGCGAGGCTTCGTGGCCTAATTAAGGCGAGATAATGATCAGAGAGCACGCACCCGACTGAGACGCAGACTGCGTCGCAGGCGCGAGCGGCCTCAATTAGGTCACAAAGCCCCGCCCGCCAAGCCACTTGAATAAAGGTCAGGCTGCTGCGTGACGAAGGTGCAATACCTTTAGACGTGAACGCGGTTTCATTAGCCGCAGAGCGCACGAGGCGCAGGATTTACAACGGTGCAGATTCAGGATTTACAACGCGCAGCGTTCGCGCCCGCTCAACCAATACTGCTTCTGCGCCTCCGTCATGCAGCAGCCTTTACGTGCATTAAGGCGTGCGCAGTTGCCTTCCACTTAAGGCAGCGCCTCACCAGAATGAACCTATCTCAGATTTTGACACAGATGGATAGGAGGCCATCCAAGTGAACCAAAACAGCAACTCCGCGCCGAAAATGTGAACTCTGCAAGCCAGGGGGCGGCCCAACCGCCGCTCCCCTTCCTCCTTTCGCTCCCCTAACACCTTGTTGGGACGAGTATGTTTTCCGCTAGAAAACGCGCCGTCACTCGTAGCTTCGTAGGGCAGAATTGTTCTAGCGCTCTCTACCTCTTTACTCTGCGTCTCTGACGGCAAAGAAAAACGGCTCACTCGTCTCAAGGGGGTTTCAACAGAGGTATTTCCCATTTTCACGCTAAGGGGAATTCGTGTCGTGATTCAGGGCGGAATATCCCCAAATCTGCCATAACCCCGAAGTTGAAAATCTGCCGAGCCGCTGCCTTTAAGATAGGCAGCTGTCAACTTGTAAGTTCTAGGAAAGACCATAAACAGGGCTTCAAGTAAAGCTTCACTATTTACTGAGCCCATGCAAAGCTCTATCAGACTTGGAGCATAGAAAATCCAGCTCAGGAATGCGAGCAGTTTAAGCAGAACAATATCGTAAACTCAGGAAAGGATTGCAAAGTTTGACATTGTTAAAAAAAAGACTCCATTTTCAAAGGTCCGAATGCTGCACTCGTGTCGATCCTGTCGGCCGAAAGGAATATCATCGTGCCATATGAACTAAACTAAGCGACAAGGTTTACATCCCAAAGACTTTATGGTACTTTCTCAGCTGAGTCTAGCGATGTAAGGAATCAAAAATTGTGCAAGTAAACTGTTTACGAAAGAGAAATAATTCTCGTTTTTGAGAATATCATGTCGGCTTAAGTGGAATTTTGAAAGCATTCCAAAAAGCGCTTGCGTAGGGTTGTTACACTCCATTGTTCATCAGAGATAGAAAGAATGTCGACACACAACGGACCTACACTGAAGGAAGTAGTGCGGGATCATTAGGCCCCATGCCGACATAATGAGGGAGACGACTTTGTGATTATGGACGTCATGATGCACAGCATTAGCTTTGTGAACTCAAGTAATTCAGTCTAGCCAAATTAATCCTCAGCAATCATTCTTATCGAACTGTAAAGATACCGATGCTATTAAGTCTCTTTACAGTCGGCAGCAGATGTTTCACAATTGAAGTAAACGCTAGGTTGAACTCTGGAAGTGTATTTAGAAGCTGTTGAATGAAGGTGTTGATTTTAACAGTGCAGAAGACCTGACAGAGTTTGCTGCTCATAAATTATCTCGAAAAGACAGTGATAGTCGAATGCTTTGCTACAAAAAGCATTTGCGTCATCTTTTACAAGTTCTCGAAAACTACCATGTGCTCAAAAGATTACTACTACATGACTGACTTCATAATACACTTTTGTAGAACTACATTCACAACTGGACCTGTAGAAAACAGTTGGAAAAGAAACGCTGTCACTTTGCGATTCCAGTAGCATGAGACGAAAGACTGAAGGTGAGTGAATGGCGCACCAGCAACGGAGTAGTCTTGGGTAATTCTAAAATGAGATGATACTGAGTTTCGGTATCACTATGGTGACCGGCAGATGTGACGGGGAAGCGTCGCGAGCTAAATAGGGACACAATTCGAACAATTAGTATTCTTTCTAGCATCGCTCTTGCACATGATGTACTTCGCAGAGATCGATGACGAAAGTACCATTATAAAAAATCGAAAGAACACGCCAAGTATTAGTTCAACAAAAAATAGTGCGTTCCTGAGTCAACCTCTTCAACAAGGAGATCAAGCCACTCACAAGTGCTTGCGCACTTTTGGTCATGAGGTGACCATGTGGAATTACCCAAGTGTACATGATATTATAATTTAAATTGTACGAACCCTTCTGAGATTTTTGAAAGCGGAAGTGACTGACATCAGTTCTGCAAATTCAATAGAACATTATCCAACACTAGCTGGCTTACCCGGCTCCCCCCGACTCTGTCAAAGCACTATGATAAAGCTCTCATTCCTATCCCTGTACAACTTTTCCCCGTGAACACGTCTACATGCCATATTCCCGCTGCTTTAGCAATCAGTATGGTAAACGACCGAACAAATTTTGTCGAATGGACGAATATCGAATAATCGGCTTTTGAAAAATATTCGAACGAATATTATTCGATCTGTGATTTTCAGATTATTCGAGTTCGAATATTCGAATAACGCTACGTTTCAAAAGTTGAATAAATGAATAATCGAATAAATGGTCGAATATTCGACTATTCGAATATTCTAATAAATACATATGGTCGAATCTTCGACTATTCGAATATTCGAGTAGTCGAATATTTCGAATAAATTATTCGGACACGAAAATTCGGTTCCATCTATGATACATCTTATCGATTTTTTTCGCAAGCTTTGAGCTACTGAGCTAGGAGTTAACGCATGAGCGTAGGTGAGTTTTGATTATAATGGGGCAAGACAATGCCGTATGAAATTGCACAAGGACAGAGGAACGTTTCATAGATGCAGGGAATTCTTGTTATGGCGCGCATTGACAGGGACCGAGAGAAGGAGGTGTCCCAGGAAGGAAAAAATGAATCGTTAAATCCAGGGCGAAGGAAATGGGAAAAAGATATCCGAAGAAATCAGATTTTTTGCTCAGCTGCTAATTTTAATTTTTCTTGCAGGGTAAATTGATCATAGAACCCGATACATATACTTTCATCATGAGCAAAGCTCTTCTTTCATATAATGACTTTTATTTCACAAAATATAAATACTGCTTGAATGGTACCACAAAATCGGATAAGCAAGAATATTTGAAAACTTCGAACGAGAAATCCTTGTTGACAAGAACAAACATCGATGTCATAGAATGGGAGGCTAAAAATGAAAAAAAATGATCATTTTTCCTTGAGAAATGTCTGAACTTTGTCGGTGAACCATTTTGGGTACTTCATATAGAAATCGTGTCCTCCTTGAGCGTGCACTTCTAACCTGAATATATCCTCCATAATTTTTGGACAAGATGGATTTGAAATAGTTGCTGTAAAGTTTGCTCTGTAAAAGTACCGACATAAGTATAGTGCACATGAAGGCAACTCAATTGTTAGTGGTCCTTCCTCACTTTCATTTCCTGAAGTAGGGTTCGATCAATATTAGTAGAGCAAAACAAGGTCTACAAGGTGGTTTCAAAGATATTTCGATTTGATCCGCATTAAATCTCAGCCAAACTAAAACATTCTTGATCTTTGTTCGAACAATTTTTCGGATTGCTTTGACTGGACCTGCCAGTTTTGAACTCCCACCACGAGGCTGATGTAGGAGCATAGTGAGCAAGTGGGAAGTCCACAGAGATTTTTTGAGCAGGGTTCAATTTCTTGGTAATCAAAAATGTTTCGATTTTGACTTTAAACCCCACATGGATAAAAGTTGTGCGAATGCTGGAAGCCATTCCAGCATTCGCACAACGTTTTATCCATACTGACTTGCTTTGCTCTAATAACTAATACCTTAAATCTTTCGAAAAAATAAAAAGGAGGATCTTGTCAATACGAAAATTTATAAGATAGTTCAATATCTTAGCCATGGTATGCCTTTTCTAGGAATAGTAACTATTTGAAATGCACACACACATAATCATGTCAGAAATTTCACTGCTACATAATGTTATTTAACTTCCCAAAACGAGCTGGCGAAGGAAAGAATAGAGTGAAGCAAAAAGTGTTTTCAAGGAAAGAGACTTTTACTGCTTCCGTAGCCTCACACAACTAGGCGCAAGAACAAGCATGCCTGAGCCCACCTCTAGATAGCGCAATAAGTTTCAAAATTTTCGAAATATATTGTGAAAAATAATGGAACAACTTGAATTTTTCTCATTCTAAAACTTCCTGCTCTGATCATCACTAATCAGGCTGCAACTAAAACTCACTTTCTTATTCTGGCAACGTGCCACCGCTCTTTTTTCAGAAGATTGGAAGTAGCGCTTCGAAAAATTGGACCGAGTTGGAACACCTCGATTGCTCTACTTACCGCAAAACAATTGAGCAATTAGCATACACTTTGGAAAAGCTCACAAGCTCTTAGAAATAATCTGTCATGTCTGCGGAAGTCTTTTTACACATAAAGAAATCAAAAATAAATTTGAGAGATTGCGGCTTTTGGGCGCAATAAAAGCCCAAGAAGTCATGTTTCAGTTTTTGGTTTTCAAAGATAGAGCAAAATTGAGGTGCGTTACACATGGATCTGTGTAACGTAAAAAACTCATTCATAAAGATCACCAGAAAATAAAATGTGATTTCATGTGCAACGAAACAAATACAAATATTATTTTGTAGAGAAAGTTCCCGGGCACTTTTGGAAATTTCATTTTCAAACGCATTTTTTCGGCGCTCGGTCATTCTTTGACACCAAGTTTTTTATACTGTTCAGTAGACGGAAACCTAAAGTTTTCGATACTGCTTCTGATTTTTATCGATGCCAAGACGTGTTTGACCTGCACATCAAAAAGAGAAATCTTTCCAACCACAAAAATTTCACAATTTTTCTTCCTGCCATCTTTGTGCAATCCAAAGAATTTCGTCCATCATGAGTGATCTGAATGAGAAGCCTGTTAACTTCTGACCCGCAGGTGCACTCGAGTTTTGCAATTCATGCTCAGAAATTACAAGCTGTCGAACTTGGCTCTGACTGCAACTATTTTCGCAACTGGTGACGCTTCTGCGGGGATCGCCACGCCTGGATGATGGGTTCAAAAGATGTGCAAGCCATTGCCCCAACATTGTTCACAGTAATTAAAGATTTGATCCTTTCTATACAGAACTACAGGACTTCAAACTCACTTACTCGAAAAATGGTGCATTTTTGAGGGCAAAAAATGGTCGATTTTTCGAACTTTCTGGAACTTTTTTGCACGCGGTCGCGCAAAGGCTTGAACAGTCTCCACAACAGCTCCAGCAAACTTCTATATGACTACAGCATTTGAGCCCTCCAGCCTTCATCGTGCCTGAGATAATCCTGCACAAATAGGCCACTTTTCGCGTAGCTTCAAAAAAGAATCATTCTGCTTGAAGTTACAGCGACTTGAAAAGAATTTTCGTATGTGCCTGGGAACTTTCTTTGCGACCTAATATTTCCTCCCGGAAATGCTCATGACTGTACCTCTTGACCTAAGGTTCTGGTAACACAACGCGTCCTAATTTTGTGGCTCCCTCCCACAACGCAGCACTCATACTTCGAGTGACCTTACCTGGGAATACTACTGAAAAATCATAATTGCTCAAAATAATAACTTTGCGTTTCAGCAACTACTAGAACGTACACTTGTGATGGCCTTGAAGGAGTGATGTGTTTTAACATCTATCGAAATTTAGGCGTCTAACATCTCGTCTTTTTTCTAACAAGAAAGAAAGATGCAATTATTTTCGAAGTGTCCCATTACTTTCAATCACCCTAATACTTCCTGAGCTCGTACCCAGCGACCCAACCTGACGGCAGCTTATCTTCCTCTAACACGGCATGGATACTTGGTCGAAGTGGCGTTTCCATATGAAATGTATAACGTTTTGTAGAGAATGGAACGCTGAGTTCAAATCTGCTTTCGATATCTGCAAAGCGCTTTTGATAGGGGACTTATGGGAATTTTTTGATGCAAAATTTGAAAGCGCCGCTACAATAAAATGGTTCAGAACCTTGGTCCATGAGCTCAGATGGGACCATGGTTACTATCAGGACGTTTCATGGAATAAAGACCTTAAATAAATAAACTCATGGTCAACTCTCGGTCATTACTCCTCTCAAGCGTCGGAAAGACCTCAACACCTATTTCTATCTTATTGAATTCTTAACTCAAAAAATTCCAAGAACTACCCTCCCAGAAGGGCTTTGCAGATACCGAAAGCAGATTTGGAACCAGCATTCCATGCTCTATAAGATAGTATACATCTCATATAGAAACGCCATTTCGACCAAGTATCCTCCCCTAGTGGGGGATGTTTTAACGCAATCTGATGGAAGAGCATTTGTGCACCTTTCGAGAATTATACTACTTTTGAAACTTCAAAGTAACCCTGATATATATACAATCGGCTCCAAACCTCTCCCACATAAGGTAGAATCGATTTATATGTATTTTGAGGTTAGAGTATACCCCAACTTACCTTACGAGAAAATGGTCAGAACTTAACCCAGCCATTCCAAACAATCTGTATATCATCGAACTCGTTTTAAAACGCTTGTTTCAAATTTGTGTTTCCTGTCTGCCAAGCCATATCTGAGAGGTGTTATGAACATTTAACTGTGAGAAATTTTCCGAGTTTTGACGAATATATTTCTTTGAAAGCAAGCCTGATGGCGCGGAACAGTGGCTGTGATTATTTTGATACAACGAAGAACATATTCATTAGAAACCTAAATGCATCTGTTTTAAAAATATTTCGTCGAACATGCACCACAGAATTGACAAATCGCACATTTAAACGCTCATAACTCCTCACAGATAGTCGCTAAACAGATAGTAAACAAATATTTGTAATCAGCATTTCAAGACAAGTCCGATGATATACAGCATGTTTGGTATAGCTGGGTTAAGTTCTGACCATTTCCTGCTTAGGCGCAGAATGGTGAGGAGCAAACTGAGAGAGAAGCTTCCTTGTCAGATTTAGTTACAAAGAAACTGTTTTTTTACTGATTTGATTGAAAGTACTTGGAATGGTACTAGCAAAGCATCCAAGCCACAAACTTGAACGGAAAAAGAACATCTGGTTGGAAACTTAGTTTCTATGCAAACTACTTTGGAGCCACTAACTGATGATAACTTTCGGTTAGGGCTCGTGCACCATGTCATGAAGAGTTAATACGTCTTTTTTCAAAGAAGTTTGTTCATGCAGAACATGCTTTAGCGGCAATACAACATCTGACGAAAGTATTGTATAAGTAATCATCCGTCACACAATCTGAGAACACGAACCTCACGTTTTTTAGCACGGTCAAGAAGCATACTTTCGGGTCGGCACAGAAGCGATCCTGCCCTCCATTCATGATGAGACACGGAACGGTCACTTTTGGCAGCACATAGTCACAGGGAAAGCGTCCACCACAAAAGTCGTAGACTCTAGAAAATGTCTTCAGCAACGGATTTCTTGCATGAAGCTCACTTCTGCACGACGTCGCAGAGATCCGCCCATTGCTGTCTAAGGAAGTCCATGCTGTAATGTGACAGATATGGCGCTCGAGCTGAAGGCAACCAATGGTCTGTGTTCTTCATACCTAAGTGTGAAGAGCGATAGATGTCTTTAAACAATGATTTTCGAATAAAACAAACCTGCAAAAGCCATTGCTCCTAGCTTGCTTACTCTTGAACCTGCTGCAAGCAAGATCAACTTGTTGACCTGAAAATAAAAAATAACATACCATGGACTTTTTTGTTTATTTTTTGTATTTTTCCATAGATTTTGTTGTGTGGAAGTGAACTCAAAAACTCAACACCAAACAGCAAAATAGACATTGATAGTGTGTATCCTTCAGCAACACAGTCACAGGTTACTAGGAACTTTTAGAAGCTTCAAAACTATCGGATAATGATGAGGATTCACTATCGTTTGTGTGCGAATTTCTTCTTTTGTTTCCGATAGACAAAAAGTATGTTAGCTAACTCTTTTGAAATTTTCATCATTATATTCAGTGAACCTCCGTACAATAAGGATTAGACACCGAGATCATTGTGGTGGTTTATGAAAGAGATACTTTACAGTATTTGCGAATTTTTTTCTACATATTTATCAAAACAAAATTGAGGTCAAGATCAGAAACTTGAAGCACATTTTCCGACTTTCTACGCGGTCCACTGAGAAACCTGAACGGCCACCAAAATCCTAGAATTTGATTTCTGGAGAAAGAAGTATGCGCCGAATGATCGATTTTGATTGAGAAAACACTGGTTTGCTCCCGCAGTGAAGAATGCACAGATTCGCTTATACCTCAGCTTTAAAGCTGTCAAAACTCCTTGCATTTTATAAGCATTTCACAGACCATTAGCAAAACGGGTAGGCTGTTACCGATATCAACACCAGTCTGTTTTCAGGTCATTAGTAGTGAACGATGGGGGGAATTGGTTAACCTTCTCTTTTCCTCCTTGGCCTGCCACGTGAATAGCTGTTCGCGAGCCTTCGGACCATCCCATCACAGTAAAGGGAACGAGGTTGAGCTGCTAAAATAGCTGGCTCTCAAAGATATTTGCATGGGATAGCCAACGATAAACAACTTAGACTAACCTCCATCAGTTTTAGACAAAAGCCAGCGTCTTTCATGCATCTGTTCACCTCCTGTAATCGGTCAGGAGGACGAGATGTGCCGTAGCCTGGAGGATCTATGCATACCAGCGTTACCAAATCAGCATCGAAATGTTGTAGTATCGAGCTCGGCCAGTCTTTTTTGTAACATCCTAATAGATCGAATGAGATCTGTCCAAAAAATAGAATAAAACTGACCAACAGCACCGCAAATGCAAAGCACGGGGTTTGGCCCTCGGCCATACTTGCAGTAACCAATCTTGTGATCATCAATTACCGTTGTCTCCTCAATAATCTTTTGGTCATCTTCGACCATTTTTCTGAAAATTCTTGAAGTTGTTGACAATGCGCACATCAGTAAATTCGCCGAACAGGTTCTCTCGCCTATTTCCATAGTTTTTTTTGTGCAATTTACGCCTTTACCTGAGAAAATGGCACATGTCCAAAGAAAAAAACGAACTTCAAAAACAAGATGCGAGCAGGTAAATGGTCACATTCTTTACTCTAAGCCCTGACACTCGATGTCCATCTTTTCTAGATCGTGAGCGTTTTGTTGCTGAGCAGAGGGATCCGATACTCCATGGCAAATGTAGGTATCTGAACTGTCTCTAGGGATGCCAAAAGATATTAGGGTCATTGCTTCGTAATCTTCACAAGGTGCCCCAAGAACGCGAGCGATAAATTGCTTTCTACAACAAAAAGATAATATGGGTTGATTCGAAATTTTTCGAACATTTTTGGACTGAATCTGCTGTTTCTCGAAATCTTATGCATATAAATACCATTTGATTCAACTGGCTTGACATCGGCAAAGGCGGGGCTTCGTGACCTAATCAAGGCTAGGTAATGATCAGAGAGCACTCGCGCGAGAGAGGCGCACTTGCGTCGCGGGCGCGAGCGGCCTCAATTAGATCACAAAACTCCGCCCTAATGGTGCCAAGCCAGTTGAATCAAAGGTTACATGCGCGAATCTCGCCTCCAGCTGTTCTTCAGACAGTGGGAGGAGCCTAGAGTCAATGGGGGTGGAGTTTGTCACTTTTCAAGTACCTCGTTTCTTGTTTTCGGAGCTCGAATTCCATATCTACTAAGCATGTAGGCATATAAGTGTATGTACTACAACTTGGAGCATGTGGGGGTTTCATATCGTTTACAGAAGTGGGAGATCTGGGCTAGATTGAAACCTTAACTTTAGAATCTTCACAGAAACCATTGATAATGCTTGTCGCAGTTCTATAGAGAGTGAGTTCTTTTATCCAATAGTGGGCAGCATGCCCCAATCAGCGCATACACAAAAAAAAACTTCGTCCAAATGCATTCCGAGAACTTTCAGCCGAACTAATAAGTTCAGGAATTGAAAACAAGCGTGCTTCCTGTCGAATTTGATGATATATTGGACCATAAATCTTGCATCAAAGTCTTGAAAAATCCATCTCTCTGTTCTCTTAACGACTTTTTATTCAACTTAAAGCATGAAGAAAGAAAATCGTGAAATTTCCAGCAGTGCTCAAAAAATTTATGTTGGCACGTCACAGTGGTATACGAGCTCATTAAGAGTTTTCGATTTAGATTTGTTATTAAAAATGTTGGAAGCTCCAAAAAAATTCCAATTTCATTTTTAAATATGGCTTTGCAAATACTCTTGTAAACAGCGAGAATTTTGTAGTAAGTGAATGTTTCTAATGGTTATGAATTTCGGCTTTTTTGACACGTCTCGGTTTTTTTCGAATAAAGTTTCTAGAACACATAGTTGAACAGAGCATTTGTCTAAGTATCAGATTTACTTGAAATATTGTTTCATATAATTTTAGGGGGAATCTTAGATTTTTTGGGGCAAAACTTATGAACCAAGACAACACATTGTAACAACAGCGCGTTTACCAATTTCAGTTGACGCCATAGTTGTTGCAAATTATATTCATGCATGGTCAGCTTTTTCCTTATTGTTCAAAGTTCATAAGCACAAAAATATATCTTTCGATGCTATTCATACGTTGTCAAGTTTGAGGATAGAGAGTCAGCCGATTTAAGTTGCCCACAGAAGAGTTGTATTTGAGAAATACTAAAATATTGGCCGCACCCTTGCATTTCCACGAGCCACATATGACGAACCCGTGAATTCTTCGAAAAGATTTTTTGTCAGGAAAGAAGCGAATAAAAAATGCTTTGGTCAAGTGAAGTGAGAGCCAGAAAAAATGGTTTGGTCAAAACTTACGCATGTACGATTTCCGGCAAGGGACTGGAAAAGAATTTCGTCAAATTTACAAAAAGAGAGTACACTTGGTATAACAGTAGCACTTGCAAACGTTCGAAATGATGCACTGAGTGACCTTGTCGTAGTCAGAAACGAATGCCTACTACCATCGATTCGAACAAGTCTAAGAGAGTTCGTTCCACAGGCAGCCAAACCACGCGGAGAGAACGACGAACGCACAGTCATAAACTACATTTCTTTGAAAACCATCCTATTACCATGTGCTGGTTGATGACGTGTTGCGGGTTACCCTCCTTAACTTCAAACTTTCTATTTCCAGAATGGAAAAACATTGATATCGAAGATTTTTCAAATTTTTCTACTGAAATAGTGAGAGATCGACTCTTCTGTGTTAGAGGAAGCGTCCACCAAAAATTTTCTGTTTTTATCATTCTGAGGTCTTTCCGTGGCCCTGATTACGCCTATAAAGTTAAAAATGTGACCTCCCCCCCCCCCCGCCCCAAATTCGATTTCTGGAAGCTCTATCCTGAAGGCACGCATGACTTTCAGTACCTGGGTAGGTGGAGCTGATAGGGCGGGCGTGGCTTGGTAACAGTTTCGTGGGTTCCAGGTCCGTTTTCTCCATTCGGAGACCACTTTGGAGGGCCGTACTAACGCGGATTCTTCTCTCCTGGGGCCTACATTCAAGCTAGACTAGAGTAGGAGCTCACAAGGGAAGGATGTCCAGTGGCGAACCGAATGATATGCATATCAATAGATGCCTCTTAATGAGCTGATACGAAATCTACCTTTCTTACCTGCTAAACCCTTAACTAGAAAAAGTTATGGACGTTCAAGTGCTCTGAAAGCCAGCTTGGGAGTGACTAGTTGGCATGATTTTGAGTGCATTGACTCAAAGGATGCACACATACAGGAATACGTAAATAAGTGTTCTTGAACAAGCATTTCGTGAAGAAGTGGTACTGGATGGTTGCCAAATTCAAACATTCATACGCTCATAGCTTCTTCTAATTAAGGGCTCAACAGATATGGAGATTTGAAATCAGCTCACCAAGACGCATCTAATGATATGCATGTTAGTTCGTCTCTCATCTTAGTTCGTCGCTGACATTTGGTATCCTTCCCTTGTTAGATTTTGCTTTGGCGCTACCTTTGAAAAGTTGCATCCGTCTCCAGCTTTTCTTGCATATTTTTTTTCAAAGGACAGGGACAAGACGTTAAAGTTTTGGCATTTTACACCTGATCTTAACTTTCCGAAACTACGTTAGCAAATTTTAATCAAATTTCAAATTCAAATGTGCCCATGAATTTGCCACTTTTATTGGGTTGGCATACAAATTTTGCAACTTTTCCTATAGCTTTTCTCTCATTTGATGTAGCACTCTAAATGAATCCTGTAAAATATGAAGCAAGCTGCAAGTTTGCGCAAACGTTTGATTTTTGATGACGTAATAGAAAAAAATCTAAACATTTTTCAAAAATCGTTCAAAATCGAGGTTTCACTGTTTTTTGGCAAACATAAAGTCGTACAGAACCTGGATCAAACATATCAAAAAGGATTTTTAGGGAGCATGTAGCCAGAAGCTGACATTTTAGAATTAGTAAAAATGATATAAAATGTAAATACAGACCAAGATAGGCGCCTCTGAGAAGTTGAACAAGTCAAATGCGTCATATTTGGAGGGCCATCTGCCAATAACTACGCTGCAAAAAGTCAGAAATCGCTAAACTTTGCTCAGTCGGGTAATAGAATACGGACACGATGATCATACTCATTCTAACAAGGAGAGGATACTTGGTGACCGTAGCCTTCTGAAATGAAACATGCACCATTAAATGCATCTTGAAGCGCTGATTCCGAATCTGTTCATTATCTGCTGTGCGCTCTTCCGAAAGAAGTTATGAACATTTCTTGTCACCAAAATTTGCACAGTTTTCAATGCAGGATTCACCAATATCGTCAAAATGTTCGCTTACGCACTACAAAAGAGCGTACAGTAAAGTAAACCTTCACGTTAAGTTCAGGGAAACTGTCATTAATACATCAGAGCCTAAAAAGCCTAGATACTGACGATTTTGTCTGCCTGAATCTCGCAAAATCAACATGGAAAAAAGTGCATAACTTCGTTCAGGGAGTAGCACAGCAGATAATGAACATAGATTTAGAATCTCATTTCTGTGAACAGCAAATAAGCCTATAGGCGAAGTTTCAGCAAAATCTAACTCAAGCTAGAATTTTCCCCATTATACCACAAAAACCTACCGTCACCCTTACGTAGGTGGCAAAATAAGGCAAAAATCTCATTTGCAGTTTACATCATAACCCTTATATTGCCAAAAATTGAATGTGCTAGTTCAAAAAGACAAAAGTTATATGAAAAGTTGCATTACTTAGCCATCCTAAATAAGTGACTAGCCAATGGCGTCCCAAATTTTTTTTTCACAAAGCCACGAACTGAAGTTTTTTGAGAATCGAATTGTTCAGAAGATAAAACCCTGTACAATTTCACGACTCGTTAAGTAACTTTCAAATATTCAAAGAATTCAGAGAGGGTCTGATTCCCACTACTTGTGTGCACAAATATTTATGTTAATGAAAACACAGATAAATCGAAGAGAACTTGCTGTAATAAGAATGCAAGGAAAGATGTATAAAGAACCAGATGCAAGAGGATTTTAGCATCTTAGCATTGCTGGGATTGCAAAACATGGTGATGTACTGGTTTATTACCTAATGTGAGCTTTGAGACAACCCAGAGTCCAAAATCCTTTAATAAATCCTTCCTGTCAGGAGAGCATAATAAAGTGGAATTTGAGAGCATCTATAGGAAAATCAGATTCCAAAGCGCACAAAACCAAGGGCCATTTCTATTATCCACAGAAGCCACCATTGCTCATCCGACCTTGATCAAGACGTAGGAAAGTCTGAAAGCGTGAAAAGAAGAATCTCTTAAAAATCACCGCTCTACTTTTTTGCCGAGTTCACATTGCATGACAGAACTGGAGCAAAAGATGTACAACGCAAGATTGCGCGATAAGCGCAGCATCTACGTTTACGGCTAGAAATGGAGTGTTCATGTAAGAAAAAAAGAAAAACAGTCGCAGTAAAG